ACAGTTGGGTTAACTTCTACAAGAATTACAAAGCAGGCAGTTTCGCTATTGAAAATGAGTCAGAACCACGGGCGTAAATACAGTGTTCCAGGCTGCACGGAGAAAGGGGACATATTCCACAGTCTTCCCAAGGATCCAAAGACTCGACAGGCATGGATTTTTTTTGTTTTTCAGAAGATCCCTGCAAAGTTTGATGCTCAGCTGTTCATTTCTTCTAAGCATTTTATCAAAGACAGCTTTCAAAATCGGTGACAGTTCAAAGGAGGATCTGCTAAACTTCTTTTACTGAAACGAGGGGCTGTTCCGACCATAAGGTCATCACAAACGCAAGCTGTATGTATTATTTTTTTGCTAAGCTGTTGATAGTAATGCTAGCATATCTAGGGGGTATGAAGTGTCGACCGCTGGGCCGCTGATTCTACTGGACCTCAGCAGAGAGCCATGTGCCGCCCGTTCGCAGCCGGAGGAGGGGGAATGGGGGCCGGTAACTCAGGCGGGGGGAAGCACGGGGCAGGCTACTGTCACCGGGTCGGTCGCTCCGTCCCCTACTGGCTCCATGCCCCCCCAGGGTTCCCGGACCAGTCCTGGAGCTGAAGGCTCCAGTGCTGCACTGTAGTCGACCAAAATCCTGGACGATTTAGAAATTCCCCCCGGACATTTTTTTAGGTATAAATAGATGGCATCTGGTCACCCTACCATATCAACAATTTCTATGTTTTAGTGAGTGAGTGCTTGTTGCTATGATACGTCTTTGGTCAGCAGCTTCCCTCATTATAAACCAACCAATCAGCCCACGGCTCATCTAATATTCATCAGCATACTATAAAAGGAAGAAAACCTGTCGTTTCATTCTAGGGCTTTTAACCAGGCTTGTATTAGGGCTCATAGAACAGCAAATATGCCATTTTCAGCCCAACCAATGCTACACACCCTATTCAGAGACCTTAAGGACCAGCATGAAATATAATCATTTTATTATAGAGGGTATTTACGTCTTGTTCTAACAGTAAAGCTGAACACACACACCAACTCCAGAGGTCTCGCATACAAGCATGTTGAAATGATGAATAGATGACGTACCTTTGCCTTGGCATCAACCTGGGCTCCGTTCTGAATCAAATATCGGACCACATCAGACTGTCCGGCCCTCGCTGCCATGTGCAGCGCTGTCTCACCTCTCTGAAAAACATAAACACCCCCGACCGCCCAAAAAATAAAAGCTATGCAAAAGCAGATTTGAGAAAACATTAGAGGAAGTATTTTAAATAGTTTGACAAAGCCAAGGCATCTTTAATTTCTATTAAAATAACTAATGTCTTGTTACTTTCTGTTCCTATGGTAACCTTACCAAACACAACATACTAAACTAATTAAGAATGAGTTAAACTTAAAAAAAAATCATCTCTGTAGAAGATTTGGGCTAACTTTTTAGGTTTAATGGTGTTATTATTCTAATGTGGTTAATAATCCTTCCAACAATGTGTTATAGTTTCCATTGAAGCCAATAAAGTTTAGAGTGAATATTTGACACCAGGCATAGTGACAAGGAAAAGAAACCATTCAGGAACTTTCTGATCTCACCACATTGCTCGAGTTGGGGGAAGCCCCGTGGTTGATCAGCTGGTGGACGATGTTTTCATGCCCCATAAACGCAGCAACATGGATCGGCGTCAGACCAGACTGTAGATGGAGGCAAAAACAAAAACAAAAAGACACCACTTCCAGATTAAGAGTCACAAATTCAGGAGAAGCATATAAATTATTATTGGGGATTTAGTGGCAAAGATAAACACAATTTGAATTGACCTGATGAACAACTAACGATAATTATGCAAATCAATTAATCTGTCGATTATTTTTTCAATTTTTTCTCATATGTTTTCTTTCAATTAATAATTAGATAGCCAAAGGTTCCTTAAAGAAGACGTTTTGGAAAACTAAACCAGGTGAAACTAAAAGTGAGTTCTGTATAGAGCATAATGACTGATGAAACAGATTTCCATCTTAAATGCAAAATTTTCGCATGTTTTTTCTTACAATTTGGTATAATTGCTGCTCAAGGTAGGTGGATCTGTCTGTCTGCTTTAGAGTCTCTACACTCCAGTTAACAATTAATAGATTAATAACTTTGTTGACGTTTATTTCAATAATCGATTAATCACGATTAATCCAATAAATTGTTTCAGCCCTAATTCATGTCGAAAAAAATAAGTGTAAAAGGTGATTTTTTTTCATAAGCATGAAAATATCTAAACAGTAAAGCTAAGCCTACAATGAAAAAACCGTAACATTGTATGAAGATGTACCGATTATGCAGATTTATCACGATTACATGATGCAACTCTTTTAAGCTTTTTTTTTAAAGAGACAGTAGCAGAGTTACAAGCTCCACCACTGGCTTTGTGACAAAAAATAAATTACAATTTTAATTTATCAAATAGCACAAAACCTTTTTCATTTATTTATTTTTTTTTTTAAAACAATAAGTAAAAAAAAAAAAACGATTACACAATTTGCTCGAAAAAGATGCACGATAAAAAATCTTAGAATTTTTCACCAAGAATGAATCCTTGTGGTGAAGAGAAAGATGATTGTGAGATAAAACAATTTTTTTTTTTTACCAGTGTCTGTCAAAATTTGTGAAAAACTAGTTAAGATTGTGCTAAAAATCTTAGGAAGTAAACTTTTACAAATGATCTAAAGAAAGACAATAAAGAAGGCAGTGCAGAATTGTAGCAGACAGTGTGCAACCAAAATACGTAAAAAAAAAAACCGACAGCCTAATGTTCAGAATAGTGAATTTTTTTTCTAAATAAAATTATTTTTTTGGTGTCTTAATTGCCATTTTAACATGGTTTAAAATGTAAATTTTGATTTCTGTTGATTGAATTTTTAGGTGGTTAATTGTTCACCACTCAGAGCCTTTTAAGCAATTTTTTGCAGTTTAAAGATGTGCAAAAATGTGATGCGTGAAATGTGCACAAGAAAAGCCTCCGTAAAACAAGCTTTTGGAACTAAATAATTCATTGCCAGTGCAGGCACTTGGTACAGACACAGAAAAACTGCTCTGTAAAGCAAAGCTGATATGTTGCTTTGATGACACACATATTCCACACATGAACAAAAACACAAATTCCCTACCTCTGTGACGGCCTGTATAGACGCCCCATGCTTCAGAAGCAGTTCCATCACTTTCAGTCTGTTTTTCTTACAGGCAATGTGCAGAGGAGTAAAACCATTCTAAGAAAAAAAAAAAAAGAAAAAAAAAGAAAATGTAAATTTCAAAAAAGTAAAGATAGTCCAAAGAAAGTCTTTGTGTTTCTCGTTTGAAGTCCCGCAGAGTGAAAAGGAGGAAAACTCTCAAACACCAAATGGAAAGTTTAAAACAAAAACAAAACTTTTTCCTCTGAAAGCTTCTCCTTTAGAAACCTGACAAACATATTGAGAAAGATCGAGTCTGCTCGGCACCCAAAATAGATAATTTTCCCTACAGCTCACTTTTTTCTCTCCAACTGTAGTCTCCCCCCCCCCTCTTTCTCTTTCTTTGAGGTTTTTGGCTCAGTCGTATGACTTCATTTCCAACCCGTGTTCTTTTTTTTCTCTCCTCATTCTCTCCGGTCATAAAGTCCCAGAGCTCTAACCACACCCAGACCTTTCCCATTACTGAGCCCAAATCCCACTCTTACGTCAGAAAAGAAGCTAGTGATATGTTTTCCATCATGCTCTTTGTCCTGTTGTATGGCTGATCTCCCCAGTTTTTATTTTTCTGTAAGATTTTTTTGCAGAACCAAGTCAAAATGGGACTTCTCTGTTTCCTATCTGAGTTTCTATCAGTATAAGTAATTGTAAATTAATTTCTTTGAATCTTTGATTTAAGTATTGCTCCTCACCAGTGCCTTAGCGTTGGGATTAGCCTTCTTGTCCAAAATGACCTTGGCCACCTTGTAGTGACCGCAGTGTGCGGCCACGTGAAGAGCCGTCAGGTAGTCGTTCGTCACGTCATCTACAGGCACCTCGTGGTGCAGCAGCAGCTGGACACAGTTCAGGTGGTCACCCTGCGTCGCCATGTGAAGAGGAGATAAACCATTCTGGGGAGACAAGATAGTGACAGTTTTTATGGAGTTAGAAATTGATGGAGTAATTAATGGAACGTAAGAGTGTCAGGGTAACAAAGATGGAAAAGCTGAAGTTGCACCTTGGTCTTGGAGAGTATTGGAGCTCCTCTGTTCAGCAGCATCTCCACCACCTGCTCATGGCCACTTCTGGCACCACAGTGGAGAGGAGTCAAACCATCCTGTGAAAAAGAGCAACCAGTTAAATCTGATCTCACTTCAGTGACCAGGCATTCAGCTCTAATAATAATAATAATAATAATAATGAATTTTATTTGTAACACACTTTACATTTGACTTCAAATCTTAAAGTGCTACATAAAAAAAAAACAAAAAACTCATGCATAGACAAAAAAAAACATTTTGTCCACTTTCTGGCCACATCCAAAGATGGATGCCATTTTGTTTTTTGCACCCAAGTAACACCTTGTTGTGTTTTAGGCTCCACCTCTAAGATTGGGTGCTGTTTCCTGAGCACTTATCTCTATTTATTCACGGAATTGCTGATAGGCCGCTGATAGTACGGGGTAGAGTGAAGTCACTGGCCACCATATTGGTACTCCCTAGATAAACCTTTTGCAATGTAAACAATACTTTGCCTACAGCATCGAACAATGATGATCTTCTCATTTTCAGGGGGGCTTAACACTTTTAAAATAAAGATAAATTCATCACTTTGATACACACTTGTTGATTCATAGCATAAGTGGATTACTGTAACTTATGATACATAAAATAGGGATATCGCATTGCATAGTCAGTATGAAGTCAATGAAGTCTATAAATCATGTAATATGACATATGATAAAAATCCATCACAACAAAATTAATGTGTCAATGGGGCATAATAATACAGATGTGCCAAAAGTTCTAAATTGATGATGTATATTACATGTACATGTATTGATGACATTGTTGTTGTAATTACATATAATTTCAAGATTTCACATCAAGACCGAATTACGTGTCCATTAATGTTATAGTATTTTCCTATTTGCAAATTGTGCATGAATGATTCCATAAACTTTTATGTTGTGTCTGTGCATTAGACTTTGAAAATGTTTGAGTAAAATCTGTTGGGCTCCTTTTGGCATCAAGACAATTATTCTTATTGCCATCTTGCCAGACAGGACACTGTAAAAAAAAAAAAAAAAAAAAAAAAAAAAAAAAGAAAATGTTTGAGTTGCTTGCTTACTATGACCTGGATGACTGAGAACCTTCACCAGTCACTTAGTAAAGAATTACTACATTGACATTTCACAGTGAATTACTTTCTATTTACTCTACTTTCTATTTTCTAAAGTTAGACGGTTTGTATATGGCTAACTCAGTCAATATATTCGAGTCAGTCCAAGATAGCCAGACTAATGTTACCCTAGAAACTATAATACAGGATACATCGGCGTACTGTATATATGGAGTTTCTTGGTTAGTACATCCAGTATGTGAAATTACCTGTGAAATGTCTTCCTACAGCTAGCAAACTGCTTGTTTTTGCAGCCAAATGCTAAACAAGTAGGTTTTTATGCCACATCTCCATAGGAGTACTAATATGGCGGTCAGTGGCTTCACTATTTTCAGCAATCCAGTGAATAAGTAGAGATCAGTGTTCTGGAGTCTAAACTCAATCAGCTATTGCCTGCACACTATTTAGGGTCTGTGAAGCTATACTTCAGGGCCTCTGGGCCGTTTGTCTGTCATACACCTCTGGGGTTGTTTGTAGCATATAATGGGCTGTAATTTCCTGCAATGGAAACCTGTTCAGATGTTTTTTTTTTTTTTTGTAGAGGAGAGCTGCCTTTAGTTTAACCCCAGTTTTCTCCTGTTTATGTGCTTGTTGGGCAGGTTATTTTGTAGGCTTGTATATTTTGGTTTTAGTTTGAGTTAGGTAAGACTACTTTTCTTTTTCTTTGTTTTGTTTGTTATTTTGGCATGAGCTCTGCCTGAACCTATTACCACTCTACATAAAACTTAGTTTAAAAAAATGTCAGAATGAACCTCTTAAAATGCATTTTTGACTCCTTGATTTCCTGTCTAAACCTATGTTGATCCCTTATACCTCCTACACCCGGCCAGGGGACGTAACAACTTTAACAGGGATAGTTTTTCTACATTGTGAGGCACAATAAAGCTACTAAATCAATGGAAACTTAAAAAGCAATGAGGGCGCAAAACTCTGCCAGCAGCACATTTTGCTTTATATTGTGACATACGCCTATAGCTAAAAGACGCACATGATCTAGATCATTACCGAATTTTAATTCATTGTTCCTCAGCATGAGGGGAACATCCAATACAAATGTATTAAGATCAGTTCGTAACTTTTCAACTAATCCTGCTAAGAAAACCAACAAATATGACCCAAAACTTGGCAGTTATTACCTCCCTGGCAGAGGTAATAACTGCCATGCATGGCGGTGGCAGCATCATGGCATGGTGTTATTCTAATTTCAGCAAAGAATGGATGGTAAAAATTCTAAAAAATTCTTGAACTTCATCTCCAATCAAAAGATAATCAATGATAGCTGGAGGAAACTGGGTGTTTCAACATTAAAACAATCTCAAACAGACATAAATATTAATTTAATAGATTAATCAGGCTTTAATTAAGTTCTTTAAATGGCTTCAACATCAACTAAACTCCAGGAAACCAGTCTGTTTAAATTAGCTGCTGGTAAGAAGAAGTTTAAATATCTGGTGAGAATTATATAAGAAGTTTAGTGGTATTACAGAAATGTGCAGTAGAGGTTCCATGTTCTCATTGTTCACCTGCACATGGATTGATATGTTTAAGTTTTTATTAAAATTAACCCATTTAAAGTAAATAAAAAAAATAATATTTTAACTTGTGAGCCAACATTTCATTTTAATTATCTGAAGTTCTGTGTTATACCATCAATCAATCCTGGTAAAATTATTTAGACCCTTATTTAACATACATACCTTTAATGAGCGCATGTCAACCTTTAATAATAAGAACTTTTGTGCTTTCTCACATTTGCAAAAATTTTGTTTTGGATTTTTTTGCAGTTAAACCAGAACTAAAAAGATCAGTTTTCCTCTTTGATAACATCTCAGAAGGTCTGAAACCTGTCAGTACCTTTGTCCTTGCGTCGATCTTTGCCCCTCTCTCCAGTAGCAGCCGCACCATGTTGGTGTTTCCTCGCTTGGATGCTACATGCAGAGGTGTTATATCATTCTGTAATAAAGAATAAGGAAATACTCACTCATACAGTCTCTAAACAGTCGTTTTATTTAAGTGCTAAAATATTAAAGTAGATTGGAAAATGAGTAATGTTGGCTATATTTCTACAGGTAACTGACAGCAAAAATACTTTGTGTATTAAGTAAATGTTACATTTCTCATTAAACATTTTTCTCTGTTAGCAAATAACATGACCAGATAGCACTGAAAATGAATATCCTCAACTAGGAGGTAATATTTTCCCTTTTAATCTTTAACTGGAATAAATAAATATGCTGTTGCTTTAAATTAAAGCACATGAACTGTAGTTTCAACCTTGCATCCTAAGTTTTATTCTGTAATTAAGTACAGTTGAAACAACAATAACACATAGAGATTAATTAGTGATATTACCTTAATTTATGTTTCCAAAAGAAATACAAAGTGTCTAACTTCTAGTAAAGATGATAACTTTGAGTTACGACATGAAAGGATTCTTCCCTAAAGGGAAACCTAAGCCCCATTTACACTACCCTCTAAAAACCAATGCGTGCCGAGCTTGGATCAGTTGACAGTGCCAAGCTTGGTGCCTTATGACCATTTACAGACCACGCTGGCTCGGTTTCTCGCCTCCTAGTGACGAGCTGCGGCACTACTGCTCTCTAAACGTAAACAAGCAAATGAACATTCAGAAAGTTTGGTTATAATTGTGATATTTCCTTGTTTTGCGGATGGTCAGGCGAAGAAGGCAGGTGAATTTAATCGACATAGTCGTTTTTTTGGGAAGTTGATACGACAAACGATACTCTAATCATGGCTAAAGAGTAGGAAACAACAACAGAGGTTGAGGTTCATCACACTGCTAAGCAGAATCATCACTGGAATTCATGTGGCACTGTAGGTAAGCTAGTATTTTTATGAATATCTGAAATTTCAGGATTACAGAGGCTGACTATGAGGAGATGACGCAGTCTGCTCATGCACTCTTTGTTGTCAGTACCGAGCCCCAAATGAACCGCACCAAGCCCTACTGATGAACTAGTACCATGTTGGCGCGGTTCTGTTGTGTCTGGCACAGTCCGGTTCAGTTTCCATGCCATTTACACTCAACAGTTATCTCACTTGCCATGCTCAGACTGATCTTGGCACGGTTTCAAAAGGTTGGTGTAAATGGGGCTATAGTTTGAAGTCGCAGACAGAGACCAGGCGTTGCCAAATCCTGATAGCTCTGTGAAAGAGCTGAGAAATTACCTTTTCAAAACAAAACAGAGGGTGAGCTGACTTAAAGATATAGTGGAGGATGTTATTTTTCCAGGTTAATTATTAAAATAAGTGATCCTCCTAATGCTGATGAAGATTCTCAGTCATCCAGGTCATAGTCATTCCATAAAAATAAGAAAAATATCCACTGGACTTGGTTTCCAAGATTTGAAAACAATAAAATTAACTCTCTTCAGAGAGTAAATTTCAGCGTTTTCAAATCTTGGAGACCAAGTCCAGTGGATATTTTTTAATTTTTACGGAGTGATCCTCCTAACTATCAATAATTCTGGTGATATGTTTACGTAAGGCCGTCCTACATGCTCGTCCTCATTTTTACTTATCGGTGGTGAGTCTGACATAGTGGAAAAATTACAAATCCTCTTTTGGAGAGTAAGCTTGTATGAGCGATGCAAACAGTAACTTGTAAACAGAGCATACACGAGGATGCATGCTCTTGCATGTGTTTAATAAGCTTTCCCTCTCTGGAGTGGGTACAGGGTTGTGCATGTGTATTTTATTTTGGAGAGGCAGGTCCTTTCAAAGATTTGTGAAAATCCTCATTTATACCTTTAAGGAAGCAGGGTTACTGTTTTTGTTTTTTCTGACATGGTATGTTAAAAGTTTAATAAAGTTAGTAGACCTGATGAGAAATAGTACAGAAGGAGAGCATGGGAGTGCGCCACTTACTGGCAAGGAGGACTTAAACTGGTATCAGTCAACTTTAAGTTCCAGCAAGGCTGCTTCCATAGCTTCCTTTCCTGTTTTCCCACCAATTATTTGTAAATATTATGGCATCTAGTTGAATAATTTGTATTACTTGGTACTTGACAGCAGCTCTAAATAGCCTAATAAACAAGACTAAATGTGTAATTTAGTCTGGCCCCGATGAATGAGACATCAGAAGATTGTTGATGAGAACAACCCGTTGTTTTTCAATTCATGTCTGTGCCTATTGGCCAACGCTCTGACCAATGAACGCAACTAACTGTGACTTAGAAAGCGCGACAGGAAGTTGGACAATAATGGACAATAATGTGACAAAATGTAAAGTATGAAAACTGTTAAAATTGCAATGATTTTTTTTATTGACTAATATATTGAAAACAGAAGAAAAAATTGCACACCTGTTTGCAAAATAATTTTAAAAAATATGTAACATTTATCGTTTACTCTGTGACCTAATAACACAGATAAAAAAGGGATCCAGGTATCTATGTTTTCTCCCATGGACTGACAAAGCAGCTGCAGAGTCACATAAACACTGAAGCCGCCGATGGAGCATTTTGTTGCAGCATGCACTTCATAAGGTACTTACCCTGGCCTTGAAGTCTACAGCTGCCCCTCTGTTGAGCAACAGTGTCGCCACATTGATGTTGCCATAGTGAGCCGCAATGTGGAGGGGGGTAAATCCGCTCTGAAAGGGACGAGACAGAAAAGGAGCACAGACTAAATTAAAACAGGCAGCAAGGACCAACCAAACCCTGTCACAATAAGAGTTAAAGGCTAAAAGCACGAAGAGTCGAGATTTGAGGATTAACTGGCCAAAGACAGGCAGGGAGAAAAACAAAAAAAAATCCCTACATGAGCAGAAACCAAACATGCTGTCAAACCAGAGCTACGCTTTACTTTTATGGCTAAATTACACTCGTTGGCCATTAGATAAACAGACGTGATTTAAGGCAGACCAGCAACTAAAGACCAGGATATGGATCAAGAAATATTGGCCAATGAGTGTTAATATTAACAAAAATGTGACCTTTTCCTCAGGGTTATCCTAAAGTACCCAAAGGTTATGTGACTTAGAATTATCAAAAGTAGGTTAGCTGCAGGAAACACTCTGATCTTTAATGACATGCTTCCATTTTACAGGAAGTAGAGAAACCATTCATGCAGGCAAACATGCGTTTCCATCCAACCTGCTGAACAGAAGACAATAAGCTCCACCTTAAACTTGTGACCATGTTTTGAACTGAACGCCTAAAAAACCAAAGAAACGATTCGGACTAAACATGCAACTATATGTTCTCGTACTTTTTTAAGTATGACTAACAGAGATTAAAATAAAAAGCAGCAGAGAACCAAAATTGATGTTTTTGACAACTGCAACAGAATCTCTTGTAGGTTCACATAGATAACTACTCTATTGTGGTTAGAGCAAGACAAGCAAATAAAGTGTATTTAAATGAATGTCACTTTAATCAAAGCAAACAATGTTAAACAGTTAATTTAACAATTTATTTCGACCTTTTACCAGGATGAGACTATCCATGGCTTCATGGTCTGCTTAATTGTGAAACATGATGAATAAGTCGACTAATGTATTAAGAGAACAACCCTTTGCTTTTAGATCCTATTGGAATAAATGGTTACATCCCTAGAAATCCCAACAAACTGAAAGACATCCTTTTAATTTATTTCTTTAAAATGAAGATAAATCCAAATGAGAATCATAGTTACAAAAGACTAGGTTTATAGACATGTGAACCGTTAACTGTACCAAAGACTGGAAAAGCAACCTAGAAATAAGTAAACATTTCTTAAATTAACTGTATTTGTCCTTAATTTGAGTAGGTAAATGAGATAGTTTGCCAATGGAATGAGCATTTTTACTCTTAAAAACAGATAATTAGATAATATGCACTTGAAATAAGACAATGCAATTGTGTTTTCTTATTTTAATTGTAAATCGTTTTGTTCCATTGGCAAAATGTCTCTTTAACCTCAATCCAAGAACAAATGCAGTTATTTTAAGAAAAAAATGACTTATCTAGATTTAGATTTTTTCCAGTGTAAAGACTAGTAAGCAGTGCAACGTTTTTGTAAATGTTTCTCTTTGTCAATCTAGAAGTACTAACAAGGAGTATTTTTGCTTTGGCCTCTTTTTTCACACATAAGCATCACATTTAGAGTAAAACTGGAGCATCTGCAGCACCAATAGCTCTTTTTTCAGACATCCACACTCAGCTAGATCTGTACTTCAAGGCCACATGTGGGGCATAAGAGAACTAGAAAATGTGTTTATGCAGATTTTAAACTCCACTGCTGGGAAAGCTAGTCACTGCATACACACAAAGCAACGTCTAAATGTGAAGCAGGCTCATCAACAGGCACAGAGGTGAGATGCAAAAGCATTCACGCCAGCATTATGCATTCATGCTAGCAGACAGAAGGCTTTGCAGGGGAGAGCATGGATGAAGAATGAGAAGAGGATAAAGAAGTAGAAGAAAAGAAGATGTACCTCTGTTGTTCTATTCACCATCATCTAGAAGGGGGGAAAAAGGAAGAGGCAGGGAACGGAGGGGTAGGAAAAACAGGAACGTATCAAGGGAGGAAAGGTTGCAGAGGAAGAGAGAATGGGGCGGTTAGTGCACCACAACAAATACAACAGAAACACCGACATGGTTGCACCAAGCTCTCAGATGGATATGGGACAATGCAGTTGTAAATAATGAAAAGAACTAAAGGGGAATCACAGCAGCGCACACAAAAAGAAAATGGACTGAAACTGTGTCCTGTGCTGTCCGCTGTACACCTCAACATCTCTACTTTGACAGTTTTACTAAATTGAGTTGATTTTTATCAGTTTATTTAAATGAGCTTGATTGATACAACCAGTCTGAAACGTTCAATAAGTCACTAAACAAAAATATCCATCCATTTAAATGGGTTTCAATGTGGATTTTTTTTATGGAGGAAATATTCGGGTAAGTCTTGTTTACTACAAGTACTCTATGTCTAAATCAAACCACAAATCTTACAGGTATAATGCCTGGATTGTAAAAATATGTTTATTATTCTGAAAACTATGATGTCAGCAAACTAAAGATGGAGGTTATCATATAAGTTACCATAATCTAAGCTAAACCTATACTATATATATATATATATATATATATATATATATATATATATATATATATATATA